CACTTCCATTTCTGTTAACATACTTTTCTGCCAATTTTAGATGACATACCGCCATATTTCTCGTTATCAATCACTGTTGTTTTTGGAACTCCAAAAAAATCAGCTTTTCTTTGAGCTGAAATTTTTGGTATTCCATTGTCTTGAGAATTAACAATTTTCAATTGTTCAAACAAATAAGTACAACTCAATAATGCTTGAAAATTTTCAAGAACAATAGATAGAAGTTTATCTGTATGTTGTCTTCTTTTGTAAATTTTGATTGCTTCAACGTTGAGTTTTTTTGAAGCCAGCCTTCTTAAGGGTTTAGACTTTAAAGGTTTCATTTGTTTTTTTTAGTTTTTTAATTATGATAATCAACAATAGCTTTAAACAAATGCAAAAATACAAAGTGTACTAAAAAACCACTTTTCTCTTCCATTTCATTTTTTCTATTTTTGTGGTTTTAAATGATAAAATTATAACAAAAAGTTTAAATGTTGTTTTTTCTTCAGACAAAAATACCTTATCAAACAGTACCATACCGGATATTATATCGTTATTGATAATTTATTATTAAACAATAAAGCTGTTTTAATCAATAATGTTTTAATAATTTTAATAAAATTAATTATTATTCAATTTAACAAATTATTCACAAAAAATAAAAAAACCAAAAATTGTTTCGTTGAACAACAACTTGATTATCTATAATACTAATAGTTTATCACAAATGCCACTGAAACAAACTATGATCAAGTCCTCATTCATAACACTTGTGTATGTCTTTTATTAATTTTAATTGACTTTTGATAAAAACATCAAAAAACGAACTTTAAAAAAATAATATAAGTTCGTTTTTTATATTGAATATACACAGTTGAGTTTAGAAATCTTAATATTCAAATGATTCATTTAATATAATAAGACAATTGACATAAAAAAATTGTACAGTCAACACGGTATATCAAAGATAAGATGGTACGTATTGTGCTCTATTTTTACGAACATTAAATGAATAAACCAAGTTCAATAATTATCAACTGTTAATAAAACTATAAAAACTATATTTTACTATTTATGACAAAACAAAGATAAATAACAACATTGTCAATAACAAAAATCAATTTCAGAATAACGATTCGAATTTAATCAATAAAAAAATCATTTATGAAAATATCTTCGTAAAGAAAAGTCAAAAAGAACAAAACAGAACAAAAAGTCCTTTGTATTGAATTTTCCAAAACAATCATTTTTCAAATTGAATCTTTTGTGTAAATAAATTGTTTTAAAAGCCGTACGACAATTTTATGGTGGTCGACCATTTTGTGATGCACTTTATTATTGAAAGACAAAAGACGAAAATACATATCTCAATAATATGATATTTTTAATTAAATAACTAAAATAAACTAGATGTTATAAAAACAAATCATTTTGTCGATAAAATAAATTATATCTCTATTAATATCACTTCTAATTTTTAGCATTTCAATTATTTTTGTTAATTTTTATCGCAAAGTTTTTTATTAAATAATTATAAAAAACAAGTTATAAAAAACTCCAAAGAAAATAAATTTATAGTTAAAATTAATTAAACCAATACCATCTTAAATTAAAATTGTTTAAGAATCATTCTCATTGTCGACTTTTCGAGGTTTCTTCCCTTTGTTGACTTTCTTTTTGGTTTCCTTTGAGACTCTATCGAGTCGCTCTTTTTCAAGACGGCGCTTTTTTATTTGAGTGTTTTCAAGAGAAATACGTTTGGGTTCTTTTGTTTCTTTGGGGGTCCCCTTCTTTCCCAAGAATTTAGAGGCTTCTCTTGCTGAATTTATTTCAATTCTTATAACACCATGAATCAAAT